AGGAGGAGGCGTTGCTCTTCTGCTCTGCGCTCAAGTCGTTCTAGTTCCCTATTTATCATATCCACATATCTGAGTAAGAGTACAAATATTACTGAAGGTGAATTGAGTATTTCCTTTATGACAGCATCATCTGCTTTGGTATTCCCAAACCACCTCCTTGCTTTTCATTTCTTGAACTGTAGGAATTTTACAGTTTTTCTATCGGTCCTGTTCATGAAACTTTAAGCCAGCCTAACCCACCAACTCACCATGTTTTACTCATTATAAGGTCTCTCAACTATATAAGTATCTGTTCTTATGGCCAAGACAATGGTAAAATGTGAAACAAACTGATTAAAAGCATTTTGCACAATAAGCATTCATGACTCAGCCGGTTTAAGAACATGAGTTTGCAAAGAAGTCTGAAGTAACTGAAATAGTAACTTGGGAAATGTGGGAAAAACATAACAGTGCATTTGAATTTTTCTAAGAAAAAAGCGATAGTGGGTTCCTTTTAATTTATAAGTCGAACAAATCTCACATCTGTAGTCTGTGTCTCTGGTATTTCAATACGTATTATGGCACTACCATAAAATGAAACCATGGAATTACAAAGGCCAGGTAATGTAGCCCAATTCTCATCCCACCCCTAGTTAAGGAAAAAGAACTGTAATATCCCTTCACTTCCTAAGAAATGGGTTTGACCATGGAATGTCAGTGAATGAATGTGACTCGGTTGCATCTGAATGAGCACAGTTTTTTAGAGACAACACCCATTTATATTGGCATCAGATAAATTTATATAAAACCTCATTTTTTCGACTTTGCACTAAATTCCTAAAACTTAATGATGTCAGTCCTTAAAGGTGAATTATAAAACATTGTTACTGTTTGAGGCATGTGCTGAAGATATCTTTTCTCCCTCTCTCAATATAGAAAGAATTTTGGATTTGATTTTTCCTTCAGTTATCAGTTTGGCTCATCTCTTGGGCTCCCAGAAACCCTGACTTCTCTGGTAGAAATTACCCTTAATAAACTTGACACCAAAATTCCCGATCCATGGACCTCTTGGTCTCCCTTCCTTCCTCTTCACTCTGAGAGCAACAGGGAATTAGTATCTAGTACTTTAAAGATAAAAATCCTGCCTTCAATTATTTCTAGTATTTTTCCAACTTGTTTGGGTCCACAATATATACATAGAATTTGCATTAACTTTACTCTTACCTATGCCTCATTAACCGCTCCTGGTCATTAATAAATTGAGGGCTGTCCATTAACAACCAATTTCGGAACTGTGCAACATCAGAATGTTCAGGGATTTGATGGTTTTCCTGTAGTTTATGTAGTTGTCTTGCAAGCATTTTCTATTTAAGAAATGTGTGTAAATTATATATATATATATGTAATGGTTTTTACATTTCCCAGATATAAAACTGTCTAAATTCCTATATCATATAACTGTTTAATTGCATTTAAGTCTGTTTTGAATCCATTAGAGACATGAATAAATGAACCAAAATATTTATCTCTCTGGAAATAAAAGATAGATATTTCGGTTTATTTGTCTACCTATTCTAAAGAAATTAAATGAAAACATTCAACAAGTAAAGGAGAAACTCTAGCCACAGAGAACGAAAGTGGGGAAAAATATAGAATACTTAAAAGTATAGCGAAGTCATTCTCATTTTTATCCAACCCTATTATCTTTAGAACATAAATTGGTAAAAACACACATACACACACCTTTCTCATTTGATCCAACTCTCTTGACCCTATAATCTGAATTCACTCATATACACACCCCACACACACTATCTAGAACCACTCACACTACATCCAATCATTCCATTTCATCTTTAAGAACAAGTTTTTTACTGGATGGATACAGATGCACATAGATGGGTGCAAATACAGAGTGTATATGTTCTTTGAATCATCTGTAGGACACTTCAGTTATTCTTTCTGTTCTTCTCCAATTGCTCAAACTGTTTTGGGTTCCAGTTTAAGAATCTTACTGCCGCAAAAGATAATTCTTATTGGTCCCAGATCGGGTAGAAAGAACACATCTGACTTGCAATTTAATTACTGAATTATACCAGTTACCACTGGTGTATTGACAGATGAGTTAGTCCCTTTCCCTTTCTTGGCCAAATATAGCAACCTTCAAATATTGTTTATTCCTGCTCTAAATTTTCATTTGGAAAAAATATCTAGTTACTTTTTCAGTAAATTATAGGTCAAAATATTATTTAAAAAACTCTACATATAACCAAACCTTTCTTCCAAATCCTTCTTCCAAACTCTATGTAAAGAAACCAAATTTAAGTATTTAACTTACTTGTTCTCTTATATAGTTTCTTTCAAAGTCTAATTTTAAACTGGTAAGATATTGCCTGTACTTATTCAATTCTCTCAACGTACATACAATCTAAAAACAAA